ATCTCACTAATCGCCAAAGGGTTGAAACAGGAACGCACACAACAGAGCACCACAGACAAACCACTTAACTCAGACTGACGCCAGCTCACTAACAGTCACAGGAGACCCCCAGCTAACACCACCTAGCAGCACAACTTGTAACTACAAAGCATGCACGCGCAATAGGTCGGTTCGGTTATTTTTGGGTCCCCCCTCGTACACTAGAAGGGTTTTAAGAGTTTCAGTTCATTAGGACAGTGACTGGTGATTAATTGTGCTAAGTGACATGCTAAAACATGGATGAAAATCCTTAACCAGGCTGTTCTGGGACTTCTTCCACAAAGAAACATTTCCCAAGGAAAAGTATTTTGTATGGGTAAATACCTCTTCTTTCCAAGTGTGAGTAAGACAGAGATAACATTCACATCCAAATGTAGGGCACAATATTCCTGTTGCTGATCCCTTGCTGAAGCATTGCAACACCACACAGGGAACAGTTATAGAGATACAGACTTCACATCCAAATGTAGGACACAATATTCCTGTTGCTGATCCCTTGCTGAAGCATTGCAATGCCACACAGGGAACAGTTATAGAGATACAGACTTCACATCCAAATGTAGGGCACAATATTCCTGTTGCTGATCCCTTGCTGAAGCATTGCAACACCACACAGGGAACAGTTATAGAGATACAGACTTCACATCCAAATGTAGGACACAATATTCCCGTTGCTGATCCCTTGCTGAAGCATTGCAACGCCACACAGGGAACAGTTATAGAGATACAGATTTCACATCCAAATGTAGGGCACAATATTCCTGTTGCTGATCCCTTGCTGAAGCATTGCAACACCACACAGGGAACAGTTATAGATAGAGACAAGGCAGGAAGAAATTGTGAGCCTACTTCTACCCAATGAAGATGCTTTGCGACTTGTATCAGAATAACTTAAGTATTCAGAGGTTCACAAACATGGTCTAATCAAGGTCTTCTTCTTTTATACTGATGCAGTGGCACACTTTATACCATATAATTAATGATTTAACAAATGAAGCACTCTTTTCCCTAATTTGATTTCTCATATTATGTACTGTTATCATTAACCACGTCATGTGGCACTTTGTACTGTAGTGGGTATTACATCTCTACATGTCATGAATGTTTCCAACTACACCATTGTAGATAAAACGACAGTCGGCAATGCAAATTTGTACGTTGTGCTTGCTGGATCTTCAAGTTACTTCAGAGTGTGACAAGAAGGTGCTGACTGCTTCACAGCTGTCAGGGTTCAAGATTTTGTGAGTAAACATCATGGCAGGTCCTAGCAAATGTCAGTGACAGCAGTAGCATGCATCATGGCATATGGGCAAAGTCAGGTGCTGAGCGACCACATTTTCCATTTACTAACAAGCCTGGCAGAACTGTTAATTTAGAAGACACCAGCAACCCCCTGGAATATTTTACTTCTTTTGTACACCAGAAATTGTGGAACAGCCAGAGAAACAAATTGGTAGGCCAAAAAGTTTTTAGAAAAAAAAAGCCTACTCTTAAACAAAGATCTACAATCCATTACTGGAAGGAGATGAACAGAAATGAAATAATGACGTTGCTGGCATTCTTTCTGTTATAGGAACTTCAACACAAACTGGACAACAAGAGTCATTTTTTCTGAAGGAGAATTCTGCAAACATCCACATTTTTGGGCCTGTTCAACGATAGGAGGTTTTCATTTTGTTGACAACGAAAAGTGTCAACATCATGAAACAAGGTACAACTGCAAAAACTTTAAGGTGGGCCTGTGTGCTGCATCATTTCCAGCGTTACCATATGGCACCAAATTCTAGAGGTGTGAAAGGGGATCAAGGTTCAACAAGTGGCCAAGAAGTATCTGAATGTAAGGTTTCAGTGGCTAAAAAATGTACAATGGGTTGGTACTAAAAACTATACCATAATTATAAAGACCTTCACAGTATGTGCCAATGGAGTTGCAACATTGTTTCTGGTGGTATAATCCTTTTAGTGATGACTTCATAATCTGTACAAGATAATGCTTTTGCAGTTAATGTTTGGAAGAGCTTTTGTTGCACAGTTCATTCATCCACAGGAGCCCTGAGCTTACAAAGCAAGTACACATTTAGACCACATGGCATTAAGAAACATCTGTTATCAATGAGGCAGTCACAGCTGTAGTAGGTCCTAGTGAAATGTCACAAGAAACAAACATGTGGATGTGTGTTTAGGCTGGAGCTGGTTTTGTCTGTCAGCTTCTATTATCATGTTTCGTCTCTAAACACCAGACACTGGTCAGGACTGCATAATAGTCAGACATGCCTTTGTGATCATGTATTGGGAACTGAAATGTATGTCTGTGGCAACAATGGTGTAATTTTTTAAAATAAAGCCAAAGGTACAGAATTTTATAAATAAATATATATATATATATATATATATATACTTTAATGTAACAGCTATATAAGTAAAAATATTGATATATGAACTCTGATAATTAGTCTTTCAGAGACATTTTGTTTCATAGTTACATAACACATGGTTGAGATAGTGACATTTAAAAAGGGAGCAACAATTATAAAATTAAACACCACAGCAACAAATTTAAATATCCCACTGAAGGAGAGATGAGATCACAGAAAATATACCACTTAACTATGTAGTTAATAATGTGGATGTTGGTTGGTTCATTATGTACTAGGATTTCCATCATCCCCCAACATAACAAACATAATTACAAAAATTACACAAATTATGAATAGTCAAGTAAAACAGAAACAAAAAGAGGCTGAAACTGCATCAAGCCTTATTACATACTTGTGAAATAGATGAGTACATGGCAGCTTTCTGGCTGCTTCCATCTTCTCCCAACATATGGCACAGTTATCAGAATTTTCTGCAAGTTCTTCAGCGGAAGCCATTGGATAACTGAAAAGTTAAATGCATTTCTCAATATTTCAATACTTATAGTGGGCTGCTGTAAATAAATAATTCTGTATATTAATTATTTCACATGTGTTATTGCTCTCTATCAGTAACATATAACATCAACTCAAAAATATAGTTTCACAGCCGGTCTACCTTATGTCAGGAGGTAATTCAGGTGAAGAATATTAAGGGAACATTGGTTCTATTTCCAACTGCTGAGAAGCTATAGAGTTTTTAAGATGTGCAAAACAACAAACGCCCATTTCTCTGACACTTACATAAGACAGCAACACTAGTGAAGGTTTTGTGACCACTACTGATATCTGTTATACTTCTGGGTTCTGTGATGGCAACAGCAGGGCAGCAGTTGACAAATATCATAAACTTCACATGTAAAGAAAGCAGTCATAAATTTCACGTGTAAAAGTCGCCAAACTTATGAATGTAAGCTGACTGTTGCAGTGCAAGTTCATTAAGCGAAAAAAGAAAAGAGTAAAAATTAACACTCTTCGTTTTAGTGAAAATATGCAAATCAAGCATTCATATCATAAGCAATACCTGTACTTTATTTCGATACTGCTTACTGCCAATAATCTGAGATCAGATTTCAGACACTGTCTCACAAATTAAATGACTGTCATTTCTGTTGCTCTCAAAACAATCACATACAAGCCAAGAATGAAGAACTGTCTTTGTCAGCAGCAGACATTTCATTAACAAACTGTACTCGAGGCTGGTCATTTACCAGTGCTTTGTCCAGACTATTATACTTCACTAAGGTTGGACAGTAAGAGACCATGACAAAATATAATATTCTTTTTCAGAATGCACTTTGAATATGTAGTTCTTCCTTCTGTCCAGATCACGCCTTCATAGCATTTCAGAGCAATTAAATGTAAGTTCATGATGGATCAAATTCATGCAGTCCTCTGGGTACAGCAATGCATCCAATGATAAAAATTACAGATATTTTAGAGGTATCAGCTCTGAGAGAATGGTAAGTAAAAAAAAGTAAAGCTATCCCTGTAACAGGCCGTGAAGGCCCATAGGGTTGTGAGATGTTGAGGGTTCCACATTATCTACACAATAGGCTCAAAGATGGTGGTAAGGTTGTCAGCCTTACGCGCTGGCCATGCTTTACTCCCAAGGAAAATTATTTAATTCATTCCTGGTACTCATTTCTGTTAGAGGCTGAGTAAACCCTAGGGCCTAGTGCAGCTGGAAGCATTAGGACAATTGAAAAAATTTGATGATCTCATCAGGACTTGAACCCACGACCTTACGGCTTCTAGCATTGCCCCCATCTTTATATAGTACACTTCAAAAATTGGCCCAATACATCAGTGGATATAATATGCGATTGGTGCAAATATAAAATATACACAGCCAAGAATATGAACGGTGTATGGTGATGTGTTTTGACAGTTTAGTGAGCTAAGACTTTCTCAAAATAAATAACTTACTTTTGCTCCATGTGACTGAGCACCCAGAGGTAGTTGCGATGTTTTTTGATTCGTCGCTGAATCTCGTGGCATAGAAATCTGAGTTGCATGCAAATGACTAAGGATGCCATAGAAAGGAATATGTTGCTCCATAGAAGCATATGCAGGTGATGGATCAAGTCAATGAGAAGTGCTGCCAACTCAAAAACAAGCTCTGTGTAGTAGGCAACAGGTCCTCTCTTCTCCCACACTCGACCTCCACTCCCATCACCATGTCGCATATCGTACAGGTATAGTGCATAACGCAGGATCACATGAAGCGTCTGCACACTCAGCTGAATGCACTGTAACAGTGAAGGTACATTGCTAGCCTTCATTCCTCACATGCTGCATATATGCAATGTTCACTTACACATTACATTTTACATTATGCATAAAGATGCAGGATATTTGTTAGAAAGGCAATAGTTTTTCAGATTTTCAAGTAATTCCTCCTTTTATGAAATCCAAAGAGTCAGTACCATGTTCATAACAGTCCATTACTTAACCCTGTCCTAAGTTGGTTACATCCAGATCACATTTCCACACCCTAGTTCTCTAAGTTCTAGCTTAATATTATCCTTCAATCTATGGCCAGGTGTCCCATCTAATCTCTTTCCTTGCATGTTCCCACAAAAGTCATATCTCATGTGTGCTATGTGTCATGCCCACCCTCTTTGATCTGTGGGAACATCGCACATACTAACACGCGGTTTCGCTGGTCTAACAGACAGCACTCACTCCTAGTCAATATCACATTGCTGCACGTTGCTGCCACCACTTGTATTTATACAGCACTCAATGTCCAGCCCACCTGTAGATCATCACGTGCGCTAGCCAATCAGTGCTCACAATCGCAACTGCAAGTTTAAGCTCCGCCCAGCAAGCATGGTATAAAAGCGGAGCCCAAAGCTTGCAATCATCAGTGATCACATTCAGTATCAGAGTGATAAGCTCTTTACTGCGCCAAAGGCAGTTACCGCAACTCTCCAGCAACCGCGCTCTGCTACCAGACAGCTAACATAGCTGCTGCAGCTCTCCTGCAGCCACGCTCTGCTACTAGACAGCTAACGTAGCTGCCACAACTCTCCAGAAACCACGCTCTGCAACCAGGCAGCTAACGTAGTTGCCGCAATTCTCCAGCAACCTCGCTCTGTGACCAGGCAGCTAACGTAGTTGCCGCAACTCTCCAGCAAACGCGCCGTAGGTAGCTGTTCCTACAGTCGATTTCTGCCCCACGCAGCGACCACACAGGCACCACTGCATGACGTCCTCTCTGGACCCAAAGTCAAGGGCTCCCGCCAGATCACTTGACACCGGAGCTCCACAAGGCATTTGAAGAGTGCAAGGTGAGTTTGTCACACGCCACTCTACTGGCCCACCCCTATCCATCCGTGCCACTTGCACTCGTCACAGATGCCTCCACGTCCACCATGGGTGCCGTGCTACAACAGTGCGTAAGGAACACCTGGCAACCCCTCGCCTTCTTCTTGAAACTTTACCCGGCCCAACAGAAGTACAGCACCTACGACCGCAAGCTATACCTACGAAGCAGTCAAGCATTTCCGCCATATGCTGGAAGCACGTCACTTCACCATCTTCACCGACCACAAGCCAATCACCTACACCTTCCAGCAAAAGGGGGATAAATGCTCACCCCGGCAGTTCAACCATCTAGACTTTGTCTTCCAGTTCACAACCGACATACGACACATCTCTGGACAGGACAACATCATCGCTGACACCCTCTCTCGCGTCGAGTTCGTCACTGCGCCACCACTTTACGACGCACTTGCCGCATCACAGGACAGCAACGATGAACTCCGAGCACTACTGGGGTCACCCACCACCCTGCGGCTCTAGAAACTACCAATCCCTGGTACCGCAGTATCCATCTACTGCAACACGTCTACTGTGAGATCTCAACTGTACGTTCCAGCGCTTCTATGTCTCCAAGTGTTCCAGTCCATCCACGATCTCTCGCACCCAGGCACCAGAGAAACAGCAAAGCTGGTCGCACAGCGATTCATGTGTCCAGGCGTGCAGAACGATTGCCGCACCTGGGCACGTGCTTGCCAGTCCTGCCAGCGCTCCAAAGTCTCCCGTCACAGTTACTCCACTGGGCGACTTTACACCTCCGGCAGCCTGTTTTCTGCACGTCCATATCAACCTTGTGGGACCCCTTCTGATGTCAGCGGGCTACACATACTGCCTCACTGCAGTCGACCGTTTCACCCGCTGGCCAGAAGTCATCCCCATTCCAGACATCACAGCCGACACAGTGGCATGCACCCTACTGACCAGTTGGATATCATGCTTCAGTTGCCCGCAGACCATCACCACCAACCAGGGACGCCAGTTCAAATCTCAACTCTTCCAATCCCTGGCCAGGCTGTGCCGCATCCAGCTTTCATGTACAACTGCACACCACCCAGCAGCTAACGGACTCGTGGAACGCTTCCACCAGACATTGAAGGCAGCCATCATGTGCCATGCAGACCAACAGTGGACTGAGGCGCTTCCCCTGGTTCTCCTCGGAATCCGCACTGCATTCAAGGAGGACCTGCAAGGATCGGTAGCTGAGCTTGTGTACAGCGAGCCCTTAAGAATCCCCGGTGAGCTACTAACTCCAGCTACTGACCCCACATATCCAGCACACCTCATCACAGAGCTCCGCCAGCACATGGCCCGCCTCCTACCAGTCCCAGCAGCACGCCACACCTCCCCAGCTACTTTCGTGCACAGTGACCTCGAGAAGTGCACCCATGTCCTCCTTCAGCAGGACTCAACACGCCGAGCATTGGAACCCCATACAGTGGCCCCTACCAGGTCCTGTCATGGAGAGAGAAGATGCTGCAACTCCTCGAGCACGGAAGGCATGTCACTGTATCAGCCAACAGGGTCAAACCGGCCTACATCCTACAAGAGACAGACCGAGGGAACAGCATCAACCCACCCGTCGCAGCGACCCCGACCGTAGGACTACCTGCCATGCCAACACAGTTCCCTACAAGGATTACACGCTCCGGGCACCACATCCATATCCCCGCTCGCCTGAACATATGAGCATCAATTTTCGTGACGGGGGAGTGATGTGGGAACATCCCACATACTAACACGCGGTTCTGCTGGTCTAACAGACAGCACTCACTCCTTGTCAATATCACATTGCCACACGTTGCTGCCACCACTCGCATTTATACAGCACTCACTGTCCAGCCCACATTTACATCGAGTGCGCTAGCCAATCAGCGCTCACAATCGCAACTGCAACTTTAAGCTCTGCCCAGCAAGCATGGTATAAAAGCGGAGCCCAAAGCTCGCAATCATCATCTGGTCATGAGCCCCAGCTCAGGCTCGACACCAAGAGAGACAGACTGACTGACCGTCAGTTGCAACATGACTTTGACTTTGACGCAATCATCAGTGATCACATTCAGTTCAGAGCGATCGGTCACCAGAGTGATGAGGTGTTGACTGCGCCAAAGACAGCTGCCGCAACGCTCCAGCAACCGCGCTCTGCTACTAGACAGCTAATGTAGCTGCCACAACTCTCCAGCAGCCGCGCCGTAGGCAGCTGTTCCTACAGGCGCACGCAGCACCACATTACCGGCCAGACAAACCATTAAATTTATACAATTTAATATATGCAATTGTTACAGATTTACATGTTGTCTTTTAGAACATCAACAATCCCATAGATCTCATCACCTAATAATATTTGAAAAGTATAAATTATGAAGCTCTTCATTATATAATTTTCTCCATTAATCTCTTTCTTCCTCCCTTAGGTCCTAATAGTCACGTGAGCATTTGTTTTCAAACATCTTCTCAACTGAGGAGAGAGAATACAATGATATTAAACTGCTCAGATTATAAGTAACTACATTTATACAAAAGTACACTGCACATCCTCATAACTACTTCAATACACAAGACACAAACACTGTCTTCATAAACCAATTGCTAACCTCTTATGCTTTCAGAAATGGGCATATTATGCTGGAATCAACATTTTTAATAACCTGCCATCTGATCTCAAAGGTCTTATGAATGAAAGGGCACGATTTAAAATAGCACTGAAACGATACTTAAATACACATTCATTCTACTCTGTTGATGAATACCTATTGTCTAGAAAATAACTTATGTATCTTTAAATAGCCTTGTGTGTAGTCACTGTGTATTCTTGGTTTCTCTTGTGTGAGAACTCCACTGGGTCTGTACATGTGTTTTGTATTTATATGACATATTCCACATCCTACAGTCATTTTGACTAACTTTGGATCCATGGAATGCAATGCAATGTAATGTAATGTAATTTAATGTAATACAAACAACTAAATTAGGGCTCCCTGCTTTCTATGAGCATGATAAATAGCACATCTATAAGTGATCTGAGCTTATGACACATAAATAACATTGAGGGCAAATGGATATAAATGTGTGCCATTGTCATCATCAAACTGCCACAGTGCAGGCCATTTCTTGATCTGTTCAGATCCTGGTTGTCTCTTCAAAAGTGAGTGTCTGTACTACTTAATTACTTAGGCTAGTGCCTCTCTCAGCATTCTTCAAAGTAATAAATCTATCTGTTTCAGTTGTTCAGTTTTGACTCAACTTTTAATACAACCAAGATAACTTGGTTCTGTTTGTATATTATTTTATGTGTTTCATAAATTACAACTCAGAATCAATGATTCTGTATCTTTAGCCTTCACTGGCCAGTCTTCTGTATAACAGGGGAGAATTCTGGGAATGAACATGCAGGCTTCATATTCTGCATTTTTATTCTTGTACTTTTACCAAATTATGATTTCCATTACAAAAAGTGATGACGTACACTTTCTTCATATTACACGTTTCTTCGTGTTAATTACATAATTATTTTCAAACATTATATGGACTTCAAGAAATACACCTTTGACAGACAGTACATTCTTAAAACCCTGTTAATTCACATTATAATGATATAGATATCAATAAGTATCACTGAAATCATTAAGACTGTACCTCAGCCACCATGAAGGCAAAGGTATTGAGGCCTCCAAAGAAGCCAACAGCAACACAGATGAGGAACATGACACCTGAAAGCATCAGGATGCTGGCCAGGAGACCCAACAATCGAATGTGGCTCCATCCAGGGGTGGTAGGTGAGAATGATAACTATTAACAAACACACATACAAATAAAAAAATAGTAACTTCTAGTCCTCTATGCAGGCCAATGACATAATTTCCCTTATAGGCTTCAATACTGTAGTATTGAACTACACATCCAGGGTGGACTCTAACATGGGTAACATGGTATGAGGCCTGATCAAGGAGTATGAAGACTGAACCTCCAAAATTAAGATACCGTATTTACAAGTACACTTCTTCGGCATGTCCATATTAATTCCGCAGGAAGCACCTCTTAGAAAATGGCAACAGCTGCTCCATTTCTTTATGTGCAACAGTTTGCATCTCAACAAACATTTTACCTTTGAAAGTTTTTTAAGTTTTGCAAACAGAAAAATGTCACAGGAGCCATCTGTTCTATCCTGACACTTGCTGGAAAGGACCAAGAAGAATGAAAGGCCTAGGTCAGAATTATCATTCTTTGTCTAAGAATCGAACAAGGAACCTACATTCCTACTGTGATAAGCTACAACATATGTGACAATACTGTCACATGTATGAGTGACTACAGATGGAGTTTTGGATTGGATATTGGATTTAATGACCTCATAATTCCATAACTTAATTATAGCGCCATCGCTAATTTACACACACTTAACAAATCGCTGTGTGCATGCTAAGCCTTTTCCAGCCCTGTGTCTTCACTAGTAGTTGCCTGGTAACGGTTTCGAACAATGTCTATTCCTCTGCTTCCAGGCTCAAGTCCTCTCTGAATGGCAGCTCCCTTACAACTGAACTATTTTTTGCTTCAACTGTCCTTATAACCCCTTTGCACAGACCGAGTAGAAAACACAATTTCCAACAGTACCTCTATTGTTACATGCGTGTCCGTTGCCGTGGGAACGTGTTTACCGAGCTGTTGCCTAGAAACGGCTCTAGTATATTTGCCTATATCGCGGTTGTTGCATAGTACTGACTCTACATGCTACGCTGCTCCCTCCTTAAGGCTGTTCATCCCGAATGACCTACAGGCGTACCGCCATTTCTTTTCCAAGGGCTGTGCTTACGATGTCTGTGCTTGGTCTCACCTTCCTACCCGTAGCTCGGTTTTCACGGTGGTTACTCGCCAACCGCTCCCTCCTTAAGGCCGTTCGTCCTGAGCGGCTCCATGATAGCAGTTGCCACGTGTTAGTAACTCCCACCGGGGTTTTGGATTGGAGATTGGATTTACTGACCACTTTAACATGTGACTAGTGACTACACTTAATTATAGCGCCATCGCTGATCCCCACACTTTACAAATCACTACAGCACAAAGACTAATATTCTCAGTCTATTACAGTCTCCACTCGCCGTTGCCTGGTAACGGCTTCCAATGGCGGACGTTCCCCTTAATCTAGGCTCCCCAAATATCCCTGTGCCTCAGCTATCAGTTCTAACAACAATGGCTCAAAATGACTGAACTGCAGTTCTCTGACTAATTCCCAGGCTGGCGGCCATCTCACAACAACCAAATTAATTGCTGTAAGTTTCTAGATTTATTGAAACAAAACAACTTTCAGCTACAGTCTCTTTGAAATTAAAAATAGGTGGTTACTTCCTTTATGGAAACAGTGATTCAATACACAGCAGAAAAGTGCATGCTAAGCACTCAAGCATTTTACAAAAGTAGCATTAGCCATTCTCTGTCAACATAGTCTCTTCTTTACGACAACACCGAAAACCGCTGTTTATGTTCTGACTGACTAGGAAAGAAATATGGGCACTAATGGAGAAATTTACGTTTCGTGAGAATGGCTTTAATGAACCAAAGGAATATTTAAGCCCATAACATTATAATTAAATCATATTATAATGCACTGTAGGAGAATAGACTGCAAAGTTTGAATTCATACGGACATAAGCAAGGGCAGATAAGACAATACAACACAATAACACTCACATATTCAAAGCGATCCTTGCAGAGCTGGGCTAGAAGGTGGAGGAATCCCAGCACTGAGAACCAGGAGCACCAAAGTACTACTTCATCCATGTACTGTACATTTATGACTCCAAACACAAAGATAAACTTGTAGAAGACGAAGTTCCAAAACTTGTCCTTGATGTGCTGCTGTTCAGATACTCTGAGTTCCCCAAACACAAGCTTCTGGATGAATTTTCCAAGCAGGATGAGGCAGCAGTACGCCATGTTGATCAACGTCTACACATAACAAAATGATGACTCATTTATTGGTGTATGGCACAAATTTTGGATGCTTAAGTCAAAGGAGATAAGACGGATGGTGCTCTCCTAGCACAGTAGCGGAGATAAGAAATACAAGAATTTAGCCAGAAAACCTCAAGACAATAAATCATTTGTGAGGATAATACTAAAACTAACTTTAAAGAAACAGGATGTTTGACTGGATTCAAATGGTTAAGGAGAGGATCCAATGATGGGCTATTTAGATTCCACAAAGCTGTAAAATTTCTTTACCGCCTCAGAGACTAAACTTCTCTAGAAAGACTCTGCATTATGCAGTTCGTCAGTTAGTTAGTTGGGCACACATTTTCGTAACACAAAACTGGAGTGGGCAAGATGTGGGCCTTCAAACTATTCAGTATGACGTGCAGCAATATATGGATATTTTAACAATACAACTCTTGATTAACACTTACTTCCATGTATATAATACAGAAAATGGATTGTAATTACAAAATACAAATAAATCATATGTGAGATTTTGAAGGAATTGTAAGATTCTGGGGCCCTTAATACCTATATCTGTAATTTTAATTTATTGCAGCTACAACCATGTACAAGAAAGTCAGTCTGGGTCCACTACTGACTAGACTCTAGTGCAGTGTTTCTCAACGACCGAGTCGCGGCCTGGTACCGGGCCCTGGCCTTATAAAAAAGAATTTACCGGGCCGCGGTCTCATTCCTAGGCTCTTAGTCTAGGGCTCCCTTAATAAACACGTGTGATTTAGAAATTTCGCACACACGCACGCACACAAAACATTAATGATATTTGTGAAGTACTTTTTCTATTAAATTGCATGTTCGGAGTTTAGTGTGGCTTTTAGGAATAAAAATTAATTCAGTACGTGTTACCAGCCCATTTTTAAACGGCCGAAGGAAAAAGTGCCATGTCCGTTTAGGAGGCTGCAGTGCCTTATTTGGGAAATGATGCACTAGAGAGTCTGTTTATTGCACGTCCTAATACTTTGAGAACACCAATTAGAGTTTAGAATGTCATTATCTTTTAGCATATTTATAAGCAGACTTACGCAGAGTAAACATGAACCTCTGGCTACGTTAACAGTTGTTTAACTGCAGCCTCGCCAGTCAGCAGTCAGTCAAAATAACAAATAACAAAGCCTATTTAAGGAAGAACAGGAGCGATAAGACCAGTAAAAAGATAATCCAATCAATTCTAAATCTTGGAACAGAACCTGAAAGTGTGAAGGTAAAAAGATGAAATATTGGTTTTAAGTCAACAATTACAGACATGGTGACGGCGAGAAACGTTGACATTATATCCAATAAATTTAACATACACAGTATACGTACTTCATGTTATTCTCGAAAATAAAATACAGTGGAACCTCGCTTAATGAGCATAATCCGTTCCAGAATCTTACTCGTAATGCGAAACAATTTTTCCCATATAAATTAAGGTAAAATACGATTATGAGTTCCATGCCGAAAAAATACTAAACAAATTTTATGTATAACGTTTATACAAAGAAAATTATATATACATTGTTAAGGAGCGTGAATCATCTTCATCTTTTCGTCTATGCGGAATGAACCAACCTGGAATGCGAATTCGATTTGCAGAAAAAAAAATCGAAATAATTAGTTTATTATTTATGATACATATCTAATTCTTTTTTACTAGAATGCTGTCTAGAGACATTTGTTTTTGCCAATGCTTCAAAATTTGGTGAAAATGTGATACAGCATTATAATTAAATAAATTTGTAGCACGCATAGCCACTGCCTTATTAGGGTGATGCTTCTCAATGTACGATGCAACAGTTTCCCATGCTTTCAGCATTTCTCTTATTGCACCAGAAGATTGTTGCTTTGCTGTTACCTTCTCTGACAAACTCTCCTCCACAACTTCTTGCTGTGAAACACAATGCAACTCCATAAGCTCTTCGGTGTTTAGCTTTTGGCTGTGCTCTTCCACAAGCTCATCGATATCACTGTTATCAACCTCCAGCCCCATGATCCTGGCCAAAGACACAATCTCGTTGACTACAGGCTCAACAGGTACTACTCAAATCCCTCAAAGTCACATTCGACAACACTCTCCAGCCAAAGCTTCTTCCAAGCAGAAGTGAGGGTTCTCTTGGTAACCCCTTCCCGCGCCTTTTTGATCATCTTGAGGCAGGCAACGATGTGGAAGTGATATTTCCAAAACTCTCTGAGAGTGAGATTGGTCCCTTCAGTCACCTCAAAACAACGCTCGAAGAGTGCTTTAGTGTACAACTTCTTAAAGTTAGAAATAACCTGCTGGTCCGTAGGCTGGAGTAATGGAGTGGTGTTGGGAGGCAGAAACTGGCTCTTGATGAATTTAAATTCTTCAAGGAGGTCATCTTGTAGGTCTGGAGGATGGGCAGGAGCGTTGTCCATAACAAGCAAGACATGGAGTGGCAGATTCATCTCAAGCAAATACTTTTTCACAAAAGGACCAAACACTTCACTGATCCAATCAGTAAAAAGGTCACGTGTCACCCAAACCTTGTTGTTGGACCTCCACATCACATTTAGCCGGCTCTTCTGAACTTTACACTTTCTGAAGGCTCGTGGAGTTTCTGAATAGTAAACAAGCAGCGGTTTAATTTTCAAATCGCCGCTTGCATTGGCACAAAATAGCAGCGTGAGACGGTCTTTCATTGACTTATGGCCGGCCAATTCATTATCCTCTGCTGTTATATGGGTTCACTTCGGTATCTTTTTCCAGAAGAGACCCGTCTCACCACAATTAAAAACCTGTTGCGGCAGGTAACCCTCAGAATCTACGAGCTTCTTGAAGTCGCCAATGAAGTTCTCTGCTGCCTTTGTGTCGGAGCTTGCTGCTTCACCGTGCCTTACACGCTGTGGATGCCGGTTCATCTCTTAAACTTCTCGAACCACCCACGGCTTCCCTTAAATGCTTCTTCGGCTGTTGATGATCCTGGCATCTTCTTAACGAGGTCGGCGAAAATCACTTTCGCCTTCTCACAAATGATGTTCTCGTTAATAGTGCCTTGCAACTGCTTTTCGTTCATCCAAATGAGCAACCTTTCAACATCGTCGAGAATACGTAACCGTTGCGTAGATATTCTTGTCACTCCGTTTGAAGCATCTGTCTCCTTAATCTTGCCCTTCTTCTTGAGGATAGTGCAAATCGTTGATGTAGACCGATTGTATGTGCGTGCTAGATCAGCCACACTCACACCTCGTTCTCGCTTTTCACTGATTTTACGTTAAATTTCTAAGGTTATTTTTATTCTCTTATGGCTGTCTTTTTACGGCTTTTTCTTCGGGGACATTTTTGCAAGGGTTATTAAACTTTGCACAAAAAAAATCAGAACTAATATGTCTGAACACAAGTTTTGAAAAATGTGTGATCACAAGGGACACTAAGATGCTAGCGGAACGAGTGGTAAACACAGACTGATGTAGCAGGCGCACAATCCGGGTCTTCCCATCTCGTCACTCGTTATGCGAAACGTCGCCCAATAAGCGAGTATTTTTTTTGGCAATTTGTTTTGCTGGTTATGCAAATTACTCGTTAAGCGAGGTTCCACTGTACTACTAATACTAAGAGGAGTAGTAATAATAAACAGGAGCGAATGGAAGTCATTCAACATCATTAAAATATATCCTAGAAAAACATTAAAGGGCGAACTTTGTAGAAGCCGGCCATTCTGGGAACAGCATAAGCTTAGAGGAAAATTGTAACATAACGTTTTATTTAATTTTAAATTATTGCGTGATGAACCTGAATGACAAGATATGACGACGGCCTATGGGCAGGATAAGATGTATAGGGCGTAAAACCTGCAAACAATAAAAATAATCTGAATCAAGCAGAAGCCGATACTAAAATCCACGAAGGAGCGCTGAATGAAAGTCCCTGAGTTACTGAGCTTCAAGCTTAATTTAAAGACTTCATGAGAGAAAGGCAGTGGGAAGCCCTGTGAAAGGCGGTCCAATCAATTGTGAGTCTCGAAACGGCCCCTGGTGGCCTAAGCGACCACCCTTCCTTCTATCCTGCCTATACACGTATAACCAAGCCAATTCCCCACCGTAAACGCTTCAACCCGGAAGATGGAAGCATCAATATCCTAGGAAACGTGGGCATTTTCCTAAAAGATTAAATGGTGTCAAAACCTGGAAGGCCATAATTTGAATAACCACAGCTCTGAAAATCTCAGAACTTACCGTATTTACGCATGTATAGGCCGCACATTTTTTGCCAAAAATTCAAGAGGAAAACTGGGGTGCGGCTTATATTCGAAATCACACTTCATTTAAAAAAATATATATTCATAATTAGTAATACAGGGTGTTCAAAGATCGAGGAAACCGGGGCAGCAGCGTAGAGCGGATGGAACGTTTCTCCGCGACTACTGTGCCCCGCCCCGCTAGCGAGAGTGCAGTCATGTCGCTGATACCCTTACATCAGTTTCTGTACATGCACACATTTATAAGAATACTGTAAAAAGATAACACAAACTTACCGTGCTTTATAACAGGTGCTGAAAGTGACCCCTTTCTGCTTGCAAACATGCTTCGCATCGCATGAATAAATTATGCGACACTTTCTGAAGTTGGTCCACGGTAACTGAACCATATTACTGTTCATCACTTGACTCGTTACTGTCGATGTCGCTCTCGCTCGAAGTTTCGCTGTCAGGTGATGTCAGCCATACAGCGTCATTTTCAGTCCCGTCCATTGCGTTGGAAATGGATGTGACTTTAGAACTTT